TTAATCCGTATTGCATTTTCTCATCTGAAATGAGAAAGTTTCATTCAGCTTTTACAACTTTAAGTGTGTCATCAACTTCAAGATTCCATATTTTGCAGGATGGCTATTGGGACTTGGAGCCCGAGCTCGATGAGATTCTTGGTATCAATAGCTGGGACTACAGAGAACATCTGAGAGACAGACTCAAAGCAAGTAAGTCGTGTGCATTATGTGTGTCAATTCATCCATAAACTGTTATACAGTTTTCTGCTCGTTTTGGCAAATCTTATTGTAAACTATAGATGCCGTAAGGTAAATTCAACGCATAGTTTAAAGACATTTCGAAATGAAATAAATGCCATGCATATTGTGCGATAGGCATAGGCTTAGGATAGGTTCCTGACTGAGCTGTTTTACTGAAGCAATTTACCGTCTTTGAGGAGAAAATCCCACATAAGTTACAAACTGTTGTAGCAGAGTAGCTAGAAAAGGCCGAGCCCACTTGACTAAGTGTACGTACTTTGTCAGCTTCCAAGCTTGAAATGAAACATTCGCCCAAAAGCATTTGTTATGTGCTCGGCACTTTTCTGCAGTCCTATCGCAACACAGAGCGACCACGGACATCGGCAACAGCTTTGATGCCATCGTCCGACTGGTGGTGACGCTGATGGTTCGCCTCCATCTCCAAAGGATGTCGGCCCAGGTGTCTCTCCCCGAGCCGATTGGCGCGCAAGTCTCCAAAGCGTTGCGCCTCGCAACGAGGTTCATCGAGAGGTTAGTCTGGAGTGTCGAAGATTGGCTAGGTGTGCACATCGACTGGGATGACCTCTCTCGAGAGCTGCGTAGCGGGTCGATTAAGTAGTAACCCGGCCAGCGGGGTTATAAATTTGAGGGCGAATCCAGATAAAAATTTCCGGGGGTCATTTTTATGGAGGTCAATTAATTTAAGGGCTTCTTTTGTGTAACCTAATGGTCTAGATGAGGTGTTATTTTACGGTTTTCTATAAATAAAGAACGAAAATGAAATGGATTTCTGTTTAAGTTTACGAAATTAAACTTTCAGCCTGTCCTTAGGAGACGGTCCCTTCTATTGTCCTCTACAATCCATCCACAATGTACTCTATGTGAATTGAGTTTTCGGCAAAAAATCACGCCGCAAGATCAGTCTAATCAAATGTTGAGATATTTCCTTGGAAGTGATTCACAAATTATACCTAAAAGCACTCAAACTGGCCATTTCGTTTTTTTACGTCGCTAATATTTCGTTAGAAACTTCGTGTTATTGTTAAATAAATTCAAATAGGTTCCCTTTAAGCTATAAACTTATACCTCGGTGTAGTTCACAGCCGGGTGTTTTGTCAGGCCCGTAAATTACAAGCACAAGCCCTGCAATGTGGAAGGGGGGGTGGGAGTATCGTGACACCCCCGTTGGTTATTTTTGTAGGCAAAATAATGGTCAGTCGGCAAAACAGATAAACGAAGAACGGAGAATGAAGATGAAAGGCAAGTAGGTGTCGGGCTTGGGAATCAGACTACAGTTCGCTCGTTTTGGGAGACAGTACGACGGCAAGTTTCATGCGGCACCCCCTCTCTGAAATGGCCTAGCGACGCCTGTGAGTCGAAAAGTCGTTTCGACAGATTTGAACACAAAATGCAAGTTGCACTGTACGTATTGTACTATGAAAACATGTCCAAATTGACAATTACCGCTTTTATTCGCTGCATAATTGTGCCAGAGTACAAGAAAAATTGCTCACAAGTACAACTTCTACAAAGAGGACCAGCCATATAGCACAAAAGAAAGGACTACAAAAGTTGGACCATTTTATTTAAAGTTTTGCCAAAGTATTTTGAAAGAAATCTAGTATTTCCATTTTTTTGTCAGGGTAACCTCTCATTAGATAGGACATTATACTCATCTTTATTCGATAAAAATTTCATCACGTAAGAAAAGAATCAGACCTATAAAGATGCGGTTTAAATAGACAATTGTTTAAAACAAAACACTTTTTATATGCATTAATGTTTAAATATGATGAAAACAATACAAAGGATGTCAAACCAAAGACTCATTTTAATAAAATGATACAGCTCTGCACTATTGAGTCTGGATTATCAAACTGCTTTCTACACAGCTTTTATAACATTTTTAAATTATATCTTCTTACAAAAATTATTGTTCGATTAAATAACAAAATGTCCTCGTAAGTTTTCTTTGTAATGTTGACAAATAAAATTAACCACACCCTTCAATAAAAGTGACTATTTAACCACGTTACAAGCTCTAAAACACATGTGTTTATCAATATCACCGTTTATTTGACTTCATTACATACTCTTGTGGGGCGTACACCATGCCCTTTTGATCATAGTTTGCTCCCATAGGTCATAGGTCATTCTTAGCGCCGCTCTGCTCCAGTTTTAGATAATTGATTACTCACAGAATCTGACATGCGCCAGCACTTGTAAGGCGCACAGTAAGAAATCACAATATCATGAACTTTGAAACACGCAAACAAAACTTAATATAACTGACACGATCAAAGTTCTCCCCCCCCCCGTGGCTTAGTATCCGGAGATGAAGAAGCATGAGTGGTTGTGTGAAGTGAACCCGCCCGTTTTCTCGAAAACTTTTGAAAACTTTGCGCGTAGCACACCAATTAAGCTCCATCCACACGATCATTGATGAAGCTAGAAGAAAACACACGACGTCCTCTCCGAGAGAAAAAAAGGAAAAGCAAGATTCTGGTAAATAACATCACCATGGCAATTAAAGCAAAAGCTGCTACAACTAGGTCGGTTACCTGACCAGAGACAGGGGTGGGGGGTCGTCAAACCCAAAAGTGGAACTTTTGGCACTGTGAACACATATTTGTATACAAATGCCTAGCATAATGTGTTTTGGAGCACAACGTCAAAAAAGTTCCATGTTTGTCGCGAACCGACGGATGCATGTAAAACTTGTATAGGCCCCTCTATTTCAGTTTTCAATATTCACAGCGTATTGTAAATTGACCTGGTAATGAATTTGCTCTTCACCCTGCACCTTCACCCTCAGGCGCTGGGTGACGGCGAGCGACTGATATTAAAATTATTATTAAAAATATCTCAGAAAATCCAATTCTAAAAAGTTTTAAAAAGTGATACATTCTAGTAAATCATTATTGCCTCCACTCATCTAACTAAAAATGGTACAAAAATATTTTAGGGCGCATTTCATTTTGCACTTCGAAAAAAAAATGGAAAATCGGACCAAATTAACATGTCATTTGAACTTTGTAGCGGGCATATGAAATCGACATTTATGAATCAAAATATTTGGAGTTTGGTTAAATTTCACCGTTTGTAATTGGAGATAAAATGTTGCTCTATATACAAACGTTAGAAGTGAAATTTCGAAGTGCCCATAGGGTCCGCGACACTTTCCAGCGCGCATTCTTCAATTGTAACGTGAAGCAGCGTACGAACAAGTGTTTTCATTACGCCTAAACTTTCTCGAGTCCTCGAAAATATCAATTTTAATGGACTGGATTAGTGTCCCGAGTTCTCGCTTGGTGGACTTTGACTCTGTCCACAGTACAACGTAGTCTCTGCATGGACGCCCGCTCATACTCGTGCGGAGCTTGCACAGAGTAGAACGGGTGATACCCGGACTAAGTACGACATTTAAACTTCCAGTAGATAAAGATAAATCACAAAAAATAACTGATATCACTGATCAGCCGTTGTGAGAGCAATCTCCGTCTTTAGCAATACGTGTTATGTTATTTGTTATACAGGATCGTTCTATCGGAAAATTCTATCGTTGATGAAATGCATGGTCAAGCCCCTGTGAGTCTCAGGGGAGGGGGTGCTAGCGTAATGTTATAGTTATGGTGACAACTGTTTGCCAGTTGCTTCTCATTCGTCTGTGCGCATCGTTTTCCGCTTGCCCAATCGGCCCTATTCGAACCCCGTCCCTCGCGACTCGGCTTGAGAAAGGCCAACCTTGTTGTTTACGGGTTGACATGATCTTGTAAATCATCTCCGATGTGGTTTACCAACTTCGTGATGGAATCTGTATGCATCATTGAACAGCTGACATCTACGAGTTACAAGAGGTTACAAACTGGTGGGAGTCTGAGGTATTTGATGCTGTTAACAAGGGAAGCATGCAGTTGGACCATCCACTCACGTCATAACAAATGATGCCTTACTGCGTCAGGTTGCTGCTTGCACAAAGTATCGAAATCCAGCGTTGAGGGACGGGAGCTATTTATTCCCTAGAACATGTTTTTAAAGGGATTGAAAAGAAAGGAGAAGGACTGGTGGAGATGGACTCCTGTTTACGAATGCAAAAATTGTTCTGTCGTTCCGGGAAAAAAATCCACCTTGCCATCACCCCCAAACTTCAAGGTGTTCGCATAGACTTACTGAACACCGTCCGGGTGTTGCTGCCCTCTATGGACTGTTAGTTTCGTTCTGAATTAATGTCACCTAAACAAACAAAGAAGAGGACTGAACAAAATCTTTGAGCCCATATGTCTTGGTAGCAACCTAACTGGACAAACCATTCAACCGACAGGCAGCTTCCAGTGGCTGACACTTCGCTCGATCAACCCAAGGCCCAGTTACAATGTAACAGGCAAATATGATCAAAGGTTATGCAAACAGTATCCCTCTTTTCTGCGTTAGGTTGATGGAACTTTTTCCTTACGGTCCAATTCAGAAATGTGTGGAATGAATTCTAGATAAATTTGAAAGAAACTTTTAATCTTGAATTTTCTTCTGGCATGTTTCAATATTGTACAGCGCCACTGACAATTAAGTTTATGGTGACGCTATATAATTAAATTAATACAACTAATATTATTATATTATTATGGTTGTTATTATTATTATTGCATGTTCACGATTCCATTCAATTGCCAAACAGGCGCTGGCAATGCCTCTAGATTGTTTTGAACGCTCATGCCTGGTTGTAAATTATTAACGTAATGTCCTGGTATCCTGCGGTACTGAAATCTAGGTCGCCGCGATATGGAACCGCCCGGAGAACCTCAACACTAGGCGAGGGTGTGTTGACGTCGCTCATAATTTGTCATAACTTGGTCTGACTTCTATTTGGTCGGGGGCTTCAAGCAACGGACACCAAAAGCGAAGTATTTTGAGGCTGTCGACTGAAATATATTTCACAGGCTGTCATGATGAGGATTAGAACCATACTTGGCCTTATCGGCTTGATGTTTGCCAGCATACATTGCCAGAGCACTTGTACGTCTCCATATCAAGGTACATTAGCTTGGTGGGCCTTCAGGGTTGTTCATGTTTTGCTCGCTGGAATTGAATCCAAATAACTGCCAAAGTAACTTAGGCCTCGGAATATGCAACCTCATAACTCAGGTTTGTCATGATTTAATGCAATCTAAACATTTGCTGGGTTGTTCGTCTTTCACAGGACCACTGTAAGGAAGCGTACTCAAGAGGGTTTGAATCCCCCTTAAGCAAGTTTGTAATTTCTTCTTGGAAGTTATCATTTAATTTAATTAGTGCGGTATGAAGTACTGCTACAGCTGCTGCTGAATTCCTTACATAACGTCAACTTTGGTAGATCTTACTGAGTGTACTGTACATCAGTGATCAAGATTCAAATTCCATACACAGTAATCGAGTGTATAAACGTAGCAGTGTGAACTGTCGTTCATCTTGAAGGAGGTTGGTCAACAACTCACTTCAGGAAATTACAAATGTTTATTTGACATTTCTATTATTCCCGTCGGTTGTCGGTTTTGCACCACATGCCGATTCGGGAACCTTGCTTCGAGACCATTTCGTCGATGTGAATAACTTTCAATTGGCAAATTGTCCCTTGTTATTAATATGTCCAGAAACTCACTGCCTCTACAAGAAAGACAAATGCATTCAAGACGTGAGCACACCCATTGATGTCTCCAGTGTTCCTTACCAAGGCAATATCGCCGTCAAATTGCGATATGGGTTCTGGCCATACCCGACGACCAACTGCTCACTGGTGCTTATCTACAATACACCGGCGCTTTTCTTAGTGAAGCAATCAGAGGAATACAACTTTAACCTTGGTGACAGACAATGTTTGACGCTTTTCGACGGCCCAACGACTGGTGCTAGCAAATGGTTGCGTAAATGCGGACGCAGCGATAACCGCTTCGTCTTTATTACTACTGGTCCGGCGGTTGTGTTCCACATGACCACACCCGGTGAAAACATCGTTTCAACATATACCTTTATTGTGACACCTGGCGCATTAGAAGGTAAGATTTTATTAAATATAAATTCAACATCATTTCTAATTTACATTCAGCATGCTGCCAAGTTGCCGGTAGCCATTTCCCTACCTTCATGGTTCAACATGATTTTGTCCACTCTTTTGTAATTCGCAGCTAACCTGTACATGGAGGACTATTGTCAAGCTGCAAGCAATCCACTGGTTTACCCGAATAAAACCATCTGGCTTCATACCAACAGGGGCAGCCTGTACAATAACAGTGTTGATTGCACAATGACGTTGTACACCGAGCCCAACCACAGGCTGCTTATCAAGTTCCATGCCTTGTTTTTGGAAGAGTACGATTGCCTGACTTTCTATGATTCAGACGGCACAAATACCGGTTCACGTATCCGACGGGTGTGTGGGATATACCAAGATGCAGAAATGGAAACTAAGGGCCGTTACTTGACAATCAATTTTAACACGGATGCGGCTGACAGAAAGGAAGGAGCAACCATGGCAATCACGTCCACCTCTGAAGGTAATTATGTTTTCTTCACGGTGCGGAAGACTATTTCCATCACCATGGCACCCACTGACCACTCTAACCACGCCCATAACCAACATGAATTCGCACTTGACATGTTTCGTTTCCAGAGTGGACCTGCGATTCTGGTCAAGTCAAGTGCGACGACGGAAGTAACTGCTATAGCCTGGTGTACGACCGCTGTGATGGAAACTTCGACTGTAACGACGGTAGTGATGAGAAAAATTGTTGTAAGTTTACTGAATTTTTACTACAAAAAATGCTTGCAGCCCTTTTGCACTTCTGTAAATAATAACTCGGTTTGGGTGGTTGTTTCGTTTTTGATGCATTTTGGATGTTTTGTTTTCGTTTCGCTTTTCATCCATACCGACCATTGGTATCCTACTTTAAAACAGATTTATTACTCTGCTAAAAAGATATACCACCTTGAAATGATTCCGTTCGGAGGACTTCACTATTGAAAAGAGTACACGAAATTGAAGGAGCATTCTTACACATTTGAATCCCCTAAAAGCAATAAATCCGATGCTTACATAAACAGGCACTAAAAGGAAAACATTACGTATGGAAACCGTGTCTGATTTTACGAACCCAGCTAACTACACGTCACCAGCACCAAACTCTACAGTATATACATATATCCCTAAAATACAACAATACCGGGAAAGTATTGCACAAAATTCTTAAACCCTTCTTTGCTTGCAAGTTTTACCTGCAAATAGTACGAGCGTGAACACCTTTTCGTATTGTGGAATCTGTTGGCACTTCCTACACACATTGTAATCCTCTTTCGGTGCCACATTGATAAAGAACATCACTTATTGGATTCGATGGTGGGTGTTGCAGAGACGAGAGAGTGGCCACCCAATAGACCGTATTCGCGGCATCCCCAATTTTAGTCGTATTCCCCAACGTAGTGTATTTATTTGAAAACGTTAAATTCAAAGAACCCCACTGTATTCTACGATTTCATTCCGACCCCCACAATCACCTGGTACCACCCCATTACGAGTATCAAATTGATACTGTATGTTAAGGAATACGACTGAAATTGGGGACGCCACGTATACGGTCCCAAAGTCAATGTATTAGACTTTTCTTACTCGAGGATACCATTATAGTCTTTTCTTCTGGCTCCTCAGCGAATCAAAGCAGATACCTTTAGGGAGATATTGTCACGAAGAACCTGGGAAACACCACGGTTATTTAGGCTGAGCTTTGTTCGGAAGAAACAGATGGGATAGGGGAAGTCGAAATGGTGATTGAAAGTGTTGTCTCTGTAGGCCAAATAGAAAGTTTACAACACAGAATTCCGCACTTTAAAGCAAATATCAACTACCCCATATTTTGAGGCTTATTGTTATTATTATTTGCTGAAAATAATTTGGAGTTGACTTTTCATCGACAGCTGTCTGTTACTCGGGCGTGAAATGTGAGGTTGTAGAGGGCAAAGGTCAAGTTTGCATCCCGAGATTGAAGATGTGCGACGGAATGAGTGACTGCTTAGACAACCAAGATGAACTTCATGAAAGTTGTTGTACGTATTTATAATTGGGCTCATTTCTTGTATCAGTAAGAGAAATTTCAACGGTATCACCCTTTAATAACATTCGATACTTCCTCAGAAGGAGCGTACAATTCTAATAAAAAACAGGTTTCAGACTTGTAAACGGGGGAAGTGTGCTTAAACCACTATCAGGGTTCCAATGAGGCTGACTACGCATTCAAAAAACACAGAACATACAATTTCAAAGTGCAGATGCAATGGGATGCATATGCCAACTTGAAAGTTGATGTTTGTATTTAACCCTCAAAGAGCGTTATGATTATGGCCCTTCACATCGCCAGGGCAGATTCTGACCTACCTAAAACCTCGACGGGGTCACGCACGATTTTTTTTATAGATTTTTATTTATTTTTTTAACTGGGCATTTTGGATTGAGCTGTCTTAGAAAAAGGAGCTCAAGCCGAAACACCTACAGGCTCAGCTCCTGAAAAAAACTATGAGATATCGGGAAATGTTTGCGGGCGGATACCACCTCGGCTCTATTAGGGTCAAAGTCGAACACTTGGTAGTTTAGATCCTGTGCTCCTTCTTCGGCGTGTGTCAGAGATCGTCGTTTTCCGAGGGTGCTCAGACCTTTACTTCGGAATCAACACCTGGGGAGGTTATAAGGAAACAAAGCATAAACACATTAGTAAACATGCAGGTGCACTGTGTGCGCGCATGCAGTTAACGCAAACGCATGTGTTGGATCTACGTATTTTATAGGAGGTTTAAACCGAATGTCAACGCCGGGCTGGTCAACACAAAGCATAAGATGGGCACGCAACCTTTTTTGCGCAGTGTGTTGTTAACCTCATTATTGTCCAAACATTGTACATCTAATGACGACTGTTGTGTACTGTATGAAGTGTTTCACGTTGTTGCAATGGAGGGCAGATGGAAAGTTTTCATTTTGTTTCAATCATTCCGTCTGTCAGCTGAATTGCCACGCAGTGTTCATTCTGAAGTCTCTCTTTCTACGATCGTTTCTTGGTTCTGATAAAGGGTGCCTCGCTAACACCTTACGTTGTCTGACCGCAAGTGGCTATAAGTACTGCATTGGAAGCTATCAAATATGCGATTCTGATCGGGATTGCCTGAAAGGCGAAGATGAGGAACCGTCACTTTGCGGTAGGTTTGAACAGTATGTCGTATTGAAAAGATTCAACCGCCTGGAATCGAAACTGCTCTGTAAAATACAGCGTGCGCCTCCAAGAATTTGAAACGCGTTGGCTTAAATTACGACGCGTCCAACCTCGACTCCATGGTTGCGCGTTCCTTCACAAGCCCCTGGTCGTGTAGAATACCAAAATTACGCTGTTCAGGATGAATATACCTGAACGTAAAATCAGTCGCGTGCATATTTAAAAAAACTGCGCGCTCGTGCCCACGTATACTCTTGCACGTCAGGCACACGTAGGCCCTTAAATCTGTGTCACGCGTAAACACATTGACTCAAGTCCCAATTTAAATATCCCAAATAGCAGTTACTGTAGTGGTCGTCTATCAATCCAATGATGACTGTCCTCATGTTAGTCCCTGTTGATGACTTGCACACGTAGATGGCTAGTAAAGCCAATTTTTGATCGGCAGACGCGGGTGCACTGGGGGCAAGGAAACTGTCCGGGGTCGTCAGGGTCAGTGGCTGATGCCTTTCTTCTTGCCTGTGCTGCAGTCACTTAAGCTCGTCTCTTCTCCTCAAAGTTGTCACGCACCTGGATGGTGAGGGCGCGCCAGCCTGTTCTGTCCATGGCCTGCAACTCCAGCTGCCTGGGATGTTGGATGTTTGATGTTGGCCTTCACGCAATCCTTGAAACGTTTGCGTGGTCTGCCTTAGTTACGCTTTCCATTGCGTAGTTCATCATACATGAGCTGCTTTGGTAGCCTGTGGTCCTCCATCCGGATCACGTGACCGACCCATCGAAGCTGGGCCTCCAGTAATATGGCCTCAATGCTGGTCAATTGGGCTCTGTCCATGACCTCGAGGTTTGTGATCTGGCCTTGCCAGCGAATGTTCATGATTGCCCCCAGGCTTCTCACGTGAAACTTCTCCAGCTGCTTCAGGTGTCTTTTGTTCACAGTCCACGTCTCACATCCGTATAGGAGGCTGGTGAGGACGACGGCCCTGTACACCTTGAGTTTGCGGACAGCTGGATGTTGTGTTGGTTCGGGACAGAGTTCGGAGGCGACCAAGAGCTTGACTAGTCTTGCACATCCTGGCATTTATCTCTTTATTCAGGCTGCCGTCGTTGCTGATGGTACTACCAAGGTACTTAGTCATCCACCGTCTTCAGCTGTGTGTCCTCAATTGAAATAGAGGGTCAATGGGCGGTAGAGGTGGGCGCTGGTTGGCATAGTACCATAGATGCCAAGACTGATGGTGAGGCGAAAAGGAGGAACGCTTCTGTAAACTTATCTGCGATCAGCTGAAGATCAGTCTCCTTGTGGGCCATGAAGGCACAGTCATCAGCAAAAAGTGCCTTCAGGATGAACTTCTCTACAACTTTGGTTCTGGCATTCAGTCGGCGGAGGTCGAAAAGTGAGCCATCAAGTCTGTATCTCATGTATACCCCAAGGTCCATGTCTCTGACAACGTGGTTGAGAACGCAAATGAAAAAAAGATTGAACAAGACTGGGGCCAGAACGCTTGCTTGACGCCGTTGCTAATGTCAAAAAGTTCTGATATCTCTCCACCCGAGAGAACCTGCCCGGTCATGTTGTCATGGAACTGACGTATCAGGTTGACAAATTTGTCTGGGCACCCGAGCTTGGATAGGATAATCCAGAGGGCCTCCCTGTTTACTGTGTCAAAGGCTTTAGTGAGGTCGATGAAAACCGCATACAGGCGTGTTTTGCTCAAGGCATTTCTCCTGAACTTGCCGGACGGAGAAGATCATGTCCACTGTGCTGCGGTTTAGGCGGAATCCACACTGTGTGTCTGCAAAATTTCCTTCAGGTATGTTCTCAATCGGTCGATTTACGATGATCCGAGCCAGTATTTTCCCAGCAATAGAAAGGAAGGAGATGCCCCGGTAATTGCCACAGTCAGTCTTGGTACCCTTGTTATTCAATAGGGAGACGACAGTGACATCCCTGAAATCTTTGGGCAGTTCTTCTTCTTCCCAGATGCTGGTAAGAAGGGAGTGGAAAGCCTCAAGGGCTACGGGGCTGGCTGATTTGAATATCTCCGCCGGGATTCCATCAATTCTGGGTGCTTTGCCCGAGCTGGTCTGCCTTATCGCCTTCAAGGACTTCATCCATTGTAGGGGGAAGGTCGGGGCAGTTGACCGTGGGTTTTGTGGGATCAGATCAAGAGCGTGGGGCTCTACATTGGAAGGCCTGTTGAGCAAGTTGCTGAAGTGCTCTCTCCATCGTTCGTTGATGCCGCTCTTCTCCTTCAGCAGGGTTGAGCCGTCTGCTGACAGTAGTGGGGTAATACATGGCTTGGAAGGTCCACAGACTTCCTTGATAGCGCTGAAGAATAATTTGGAGTTCTGCATGTCAGCGTATCTCTGGATCTCGTCAGCCTTTCTCTCCCACTGCTCATCCTGCATCTTGTGCAGTGCAACCCGGGCTTGCTTCTGGAGGTTCTTGAAACGATCATGCTTGGAGGTGAAGAAGGGGTCATTTCGCCACTCAACAAAGGCTTTCTGTTTGCCATCCACAAGTTTCTCGATGTGCTCATCGTTCTCGTCAAACCGATCTTGATGAATTCGTTTCCTGGGGCCTATGGTGGATTTTGCTGACTCCGTCAGCAGTGTTCTGAACTGCTCCCACTTTGGGGTTGGGCAACCAGTAAGTGGTCTGTGGGTAGTCAGTTGGCCGTCAAGGTTTTCTGCAAATTCACTGCGTCGCTGATGTTGCTCAAGCTTGGCGATGTTGAACGCTGGTCCGAGGACCTTTGGCGTCTTGCGGTGAGTTGGGGCGATGTGCAGGGATAGAATGATCCTGACTAGACGGGTGGTCCGTCCAACACTCTGCTCCACGCATGGCCCTGGTGATTCTGATGTCATGGATGTCTCTCTGGCGGCAGATAGCAAAATATTTCAAGTGCCACTGTTTTGATATTGGGTGCATCCATGTTGTCTTGTACTTGTTGGCCTATCGGAATATGGTGTTTGTGATAGCGAGGTATTGTTCAGCACAGAGGCTCAAAAACATCAAGTGGTTGGAGTTGAGCTTTCCAGTACCGTGTGGCCCCAGCACGCCTTCCCAATTTCTGCAGTCTGCTCCAACTCTGGCGTTTAAATCGCCCAGCAAGACGAGCTTGTCACTGCAGGGGGTGTCCCTTATGAGGGTGCCAAGCTCCTCATAAAGAGCTTCTTTCGCTTCGTCTTTGCTGTTAAGGGTTGGAGCGTACACACTGATGAGGGTTACGTGCTGGGTACGGTTTTGGGGGAAGCGGAGTTTCATCAGACGTTCATTCACTCATGGTTGTTTGGGGAGGGATGTCTTGATGGCCAGCCCTACTCCATGAATTTTCACTTCATCTTTGGCCTTTCCAAAAGAAAGTGTAGCCACCTTTCAGTTCATTCACAGATCCTTCTTCAGCAAGTCCGGTCTCGCTGAGGGCTGCGATGTCAATACAGTAGCGGGCCAGTTTCCTTGCAATAAGAGCCGTTCTTTCCTCAGGCCTTGAAGTGGCATCTTTGTCCATAAATGTGCGTACGTTCCACGCACCAAGAATCAATTGTTTCTGTCTTTGGTTTCGACCGCTTTGAAGGGTAAAACTGCCAGCCGCAGTATGCTGGCCAGTTGTAAGGGACAGGCATTTCTTTGGGACACCTTTTCCAGTCCTTTCCCTCGTGTGAGGGTGAGCAGTGCTGTCCTGAGGAGGCTGCTCAGTCGCCTGGGGGAACGTCGAATTTCACTCTCATCCTGGGGTCAGGAGGAGAGCAACTATTGCCGTCAGGCCGCCTACCTGCAAGGTGCAAACTACAACTGCCAGCGGTCACCTCCACCTGTTGCTTCGCCAGTTCCCCATCGCCGCAGGACATTGGTAGGTGTGGGGGTGTGGGGACTAACACCCATGAGGAAAACCTGTTCGGGAAAGTGATTAAAGTGGGAGAGTCGATGGACAAGGGCAATTCCACTCTCTCGGCCTAAGAAGCCAGAATCCGGTGGTACGCAGAAGCCGTCACAACCAGGGACTTCTTCGGCTGCAGTGGATGACTACGGCGTCTATAAATGCCTTGCCGTGCCCGTGGCGCTCCACTACGCTTGCTGTCGCCGCCTTCGTGACCGTTGGGACAGAAGTTGATTTCATCCGCTCACTCCGCCGACTTGAGTCTTCACATGCTGGGGTAGGAATACCCTAACCTTAATCACTGGAAGAATGAGACCCGACCAACTACCTTCAACAGGTTTGGCCGGCCCGTCAAAGCATGCTACATCTACTTGGAGACACAGGTGAGAGTTGGGTGCCAGATGGGCACCAAAGGTTGACGAGCTACTCCCCAGAAGGAAACCACGACGTGCCCCCCCCCAGGTGCTACCCCTACCTGGCAATCCATACAACTCAAGATGCCGCAGCAAGATCGTACACATGGGATCAAGGTTGCGACGCGCCAAATCTGTCGACCCAACGCGCGTTGGGAAAGAGTCAACAGATTTCGCGTGTTGTGATAGGCCAACGCGTTTCAAAATCTTGGAGGCGCACTATTGTGAATTTCCCGTACTGAAACTAAGGCCGTGTCCGAAAGGGGCTTCCAGAGCTACGGCTAGGTCTATTGTCTACGCGTCTCCACACATCTCCAATGGGGCGAAGACCTAGACCTAGCTCTAGACAACAGATTCAGATGCAGCTAAAAATTCGCTTCTTTAATAACTACCGGGAGAGCTGAAGCACCCTGAAAGAGATACATATAGTTTAATGCCAGGATTTTTCTTCAAACCAAATACCAGTGTCACAAAATGGTAAGGAAACTGAAGACCGAGTATTGTTTTTGAAACCAAGTATAAAGTAACGAGCGAATCGATAGAGTACCGAAGTGTGACGTCACTGTGAACCAGAAACTGCAGTGCAAACGACTGGAGTACGCGCGCGTGTTGGTTCACGCGCTGTTTCTCGCACTAATGCCTTTTGCACACTAATTGTGCGCATGACGTATTCACTTCGCTACTCTACGAACGAATACAAGAACTGAATAGCAAGTGATTGCTATAAACCTGAACGAAGGTGCAATACCTGTAGAAGTCTCGTTCAAAGAGAGGCAGGTGGTCCATTTCTGAAACTGAATTGTTTTGTCAAGATTGTCAGTCTGGTTTCTACTGCCATCGCATCCCCAATGGTCAGTATGGCTGTCTGAATTCCTCGGACATTTGCAATGGTGAGCGCCAGTGCATGAATGGATATGATGAAGACAGACACTTTTGCGGTGAGTATATCTGTGTCTAGTTTAACCATTAATATGAAATTTTAGGTCGAGTTTCCTTAAGGCCGTGGCACTTTGAGTTCACGACTTCCAGAGTATTTACAAACTGAAAGCTGGACTCTGAGAAATGCGCCTTCATGTCTTCGGGGCAGCATGTTAATGCAAGAATTGATGCAGTGACATAGTGGCAACTTGCGCGAATTGCGCATCGAAATATGACATGCAGAAAAATTGGAGTCCGTGGCGAAAAAAGCGGATAGGACTTTAACGTGGTTTTGACATGAATGCTAGCTTTGGTATACTATAATAAGATTGAACACTGAAGGTGTCATTAAAAGTGACATGGAAAATTGTCAAATTACAGGAGTACAATGACTGCAATACATTGGCCAGTAAGGAGAAGATATCAAGCATCTAAATAATTCTCCGACTGTGGAATAGGAGCCCGCCTGATCGTTCTCCGTAACATGCATTTGAACCTTTTATTTTCAGTGTTAAAGTCTGCATGATTTGTTTCATGACACAAGCGAGCGAGCAAGTCAAAGTTTTGTCCGTCTTTTTAATCAGTTTGAGACCCCGTTGCAGTGTTGGAGGCACACTAAAGGCCGGTTCGTTCTTTAGCCGAATGCGAAAGAGGAGCAAATTCGAGGTCACGACAACTTTGTAGCGAAATTTCGTTCGAGTTGAAATATGTTCAACTTTCAAAAATCTGACGTCACAAATTCGCATTCGATTTCGCTTTCGCAGGAAGTATGTACCGACCCTTAAGGACGTTTTATGGGACTTCCCCACTAAGTGCTTACTATATCAGAAGATGAAAAAGTTCTTTGAATGAATCGAATTTCTCTTAGAGTGCAGCGAAGGGGTACGCTGCAGAACGGACTTTGGCTACGAATGCTTACACAGCTATGACCTTTGCGATTCGTACTCGTACTGCTTAGACGGCCAGGATGAGAGTTCTTCAATTTGCGGTAAGCAAACGTTAAAAACAATGAAAAGCATTGTACACAAATGCACTTTTTTTCCTAATTACGGAAGAGATTTACATTGGGACATCACATGATGTCAAATGTAACACCATTGTTTTTGTAATGGATTAATGCTTGCTTATTTCTATTGCAAAACATGCAGCAAAGAAAAAAGTAATCCAGCAATATCTACAAATATGCAGGACGTTTATGTGTATAGACCAATGTAACATTGGCCGCTGTGTGTATGAGGTTCAAGTGGGGGCATGTTGCCTTGTAGTGATTAGGGTTTGTAGCTTCTGATCATAGGGTTTCAGTCCAGCTAGTTTCCACATGTTGTGATCTTAGGCAAGTCACTTTAGTGCTTCAAGTGCTTCTCTACACTCAGAAGTAAATAGGGACCCGTGAGAGCAGATGATAATTAATATGGTCAGCCGTTTTCGCTTAATATGGCAGCATCGGGCTAGTATACTCCCTAGGGAGCTGAGGTGGTTTGAGGAATGTTCAGATGTTGCGATCCCAATGTGCAGGGGTAATGATATGTTGGGGCTTTGATTTACGGATACTGTGATACTGTGCTATGATAATGGTGTCTATTATAATGTATTACATGCAAGCTTCGTATAGTGGCATTTTGCTTTAAAGGGCTCTTTGAGTACCAGCAACGATGCAGTCCTACCACCTTGAAACCTTAAAATGACTTCATAAAAACAAAAAAACGAGAAAACTATTAAATTTGAACCCTTGAAACGGCCAATTATGATTAAAACCAAAGCAACAGTGAGTTGATACGCATGTCAGACACAATATTCTTTTGAAGCTGTAGTAAAGGAACTGACTCTTCGTGTTAGCTCATATTTGTTTAATTTTTGAGTTAGAAGAAGAGGGGGACACAGTGTATCAAGAGCGCTGGGGTTACAGGTCGTCCAGAAATACCCAGAAAGTTGCAGCCAAAGGGGATGTTCTTTTACTTGTGTACTAACGATGACTTTTACAATCATTCTCACAGAACCTGCCATCCTGTCGTATTGGTCGTCTGGTGGACTGGCTGGCATCTTTATCGGTTACATCATCTTCGCCGTCATCGTCGTTGTCATCACGTGCATGATCCCAAAGAAATGCAAACCGCTTGATGAGTGACCCGTGAGCGACTCAGCGCGAAAACAGGAGCCATTGTGAAACGCACTCATAGATCCTCATTTATTGTAGTAGATATTCAAAGATCGGCTCAAGACTAGACGCAGAAATTTCCTGAATGACAGACCCCACAACTCTAATTTCACTAGAAATATACTACGAATTACATTTTGTTCACAAAATAATGACACACCACATGTGAGTTCGACATTTAAAATGTCCGCGTTTTCCTGACGTAGGCCTATATTGCTGTAGCATAAAATTATAATTCAGTGATTCTGTTTACACCTGAACCTAATCATGGAAGTGAGTTTGCTCGCTATAAACTGTTAGAGTTAGAATTATAAAACATGCAAAGAGCATCGCATCAGCAGAACCAAACCTAAAACTGCCGTTTATGTGTGCCAAAAAAGTCGACGCCTAAGCTTCTTTGCATAAATTACATCAGTTTTCCGTATCTGTTATCATTTCAATCTGTTTTGGAGAGACCACTCCGGATTTGCCCACAACTTGTATGGGTAGCCAAAGTTTGCTGAAATTTTACCTTCTGGTTGATTTTTCGATGTTACGAGCCTTCAAATGCATTCAAATGGGCATTTGTCCCATTACGTCCGAGTAGGGTTATATTTTCATTCAGTATTAGGTGTAACGTGTATTTTTATCTGGCGGTTTGTTACCTGCGTGAGATTGTGAATACTTTGTGAATTATTCTATTACTTTTGCATTGACGACCAGCCACAGTTTTAGGGGGTTGCTTGTAGGAAGAACTCGACTACTGTGACATCAAAAGAGCGGACCCTATTAAACAAAAGGGGCAAATGCCTCACAAATTCATGAAACACTCCATTTTAGTACGAAGAGGTAGAGCACAGGTACATGACGTGCATTTAATCATGTCAAGACACGCGGGTAGGATTTTCTAAGAATGTTTATTACACCGACCTGTTATTAAGTTGTTTCAATTTCTGCTCAGTTTCAATGACACGAATTTCAGTGAATGGTCGTTCGAATTCGTGCCATGATCACGTGAATTATTTTTGTTTTTTTCATGGCTATCTGCAGACTGTGCAAATTCCAAAGGTCTAAAATCCTGAATGTAGAGTTCTACGTGTAAAAAGGGTTAATTGCTTGTGTAATAAGAAACTTTGACAGAATGGGAAACAACGAATCGATACGGAGGTGTGGCGATAAGGACATGGAGATTGCTCAAGAATCATTAACACAGGTTGTCTCGGTCAAACAAATTCAGTTCATTTTTGGGGTGTCAGGCCAAACCATGCAATAATTTTGTACCAAAAAATATGAACGGTAGTACACGATGAAATATTTCTGAAAGCGTAATTCTTACAGTGGATCCTGGGATTGACATGCCGGTCACAAACTCTTGAATACGGAACACATGCGAGTGACTTTGAATACATTTGTCAGCTTTGACCTCGAAAAAAATGTATTAATAGGTTGACAGTCCTATCTGGAACGAGGCACGTTTCTTTAGGGATTAAAAGCGTCAGAAACGTCTGAGGTTGAGCTTTGCCACAGTTATTAGTTTCGAAGTATTTTAATGTGATTGTGTAAATAAAATCGTTTCAAATTTAAAGTAGTATCTAATAAAAATGAACAGAAATAGGTATTTTACTAATGAACAAGTTTTGTACATACGGTTAATGCAGCTGCTTTGCAAGCGTGTTTTGAATTTGGTTGTTTGCTTTACATTTTACAGAGTTGAATACGAAATAGCCCATGCGACGAGGCCCGTTATTAGTGCTCTTTAAACACTTGAACTCAAAAAAATTTGAACTTTGCTGCGTAATGTTACGGAGTCTGATGTCACCGTAATAAACCACTGCTGTCGAGATGACTCATAGTCACTACCGACTGATTTGTTGAATCATTTTGGAAGTCTGATTATAAACTGGGTCTCTTTTTATGAGGTTGGTTGATAAATGATGTGAAATCACAGGTTAAAGAAAAGGGGTGCCAGCAGTGCGAGCCAACTGACGAGAAATTCAGTGGAATGCCCGCTCCTTAAAAGCAAAAAAGAATAAATAAATAAAATTAATACTAAACCAAAGCAAATCAAAAAGACAACTGAAAAATAAATATCACACAAACATACAAACGTGAGTAAATTAAACGAGTGACACAAAACATGTATTTGCCTCAACGGCCACCGGCGAAATGGCTGCTTAAGCCCTGCTAATTGAAACAAGGAATCCTTCCGCCGAATATTTGGGGAGGTCGATCATTTCGCCTCCAAGATGGACTGCAACACCCCTACCACTCCCTCGGCCAGGCCGTGTGAAAACCTGTTGAAAGTGGAGACATTATTGAAACTGGGCGCAACTTTTAGATCCATTTACACACTGGAGTCGAGTCCATCACATTCACATTCTTTAACAAGTCGTAGGTAACTAGGCTGAACGATGACAGAGGAATCTCTTTTGATTTAAATACATTGTGACAAAGCCGATCTAGAGGGGGGCTTTTGGAGAGTTGCAACCCCACCCCTTCAGCTGCAGACTAAATTGAACCACTAGAGAAATGAGTAGGCCTACAAAAAGAATGAATAAATAAAAACAATCCTGGACGAGGATTGCCACGACCATCTACCCATCTATAGTTAAACAGTTACATCGATTTCCAGTGGATCACCTTAGCAAGGCATCTCTTCAGTATGCCCATAACCCACCCCTCCGTTTCCTGAAAGCTAGATCCGTCCCTTTGTGATTTGGCGTAAGATTGAACAAATTGTGATGGACTTGCAAGAGATTGTCTTAGACTCGACTACTCGACGGGCCGTTAATCTGGTACCCATCTTCAAATTTAGTTCAAAATGTTTAGTCAAAATTGGACAGCAGGTTTTTTAGTTGTGGTCATTGGTATTTCGCATCACTTTCAGTAACTCAGTACTTCCTGCTATCCGTTGAGAGCAGAAGTGCCCCTTCATCGGTTGAAAAGAGCCGCGAGGTTCGGGAATGTTCAATTTGTTGGTAGCGATGCAACCGGGTGGTCGTTCGTGAACCGTTGAAGTTCAGTTCCGATCAAACGAGCCTTCGTTGCTAAGAAAATAGCGCCCTCTCTTGGTCCAGCTCGAGACCTGCAAATTTGGTCGGAAATATTATTTTCATGCGACACCCAACTGTTTACTTTATATTTCAAGGGTCTGAGGTGGGACACAGCAGACACTGACTCCGGCCTCGATGACCGATTCTTTGTTAAAAGAACACTACCTGATGGCCTTCAGTCCTCCAAAATCCTCCCGAACCTCTTGGCGGATTTTCAAAGATTGGGAAAGGTCCATTAATCACTTTTTTGACAGTTGCATTCAGTGAAAAGCAAAAATGTGGCCTGATACATGTAATACAATAAGACACAAGACAACCAATGCTATTTTGAACCCGGGCTAACAAGCCTTTATTATGGACTCTGTGTAAATCGACACATTTGATCGGGCTCACCACGGAGGAAGTAATCGTACGCCACAAAATTAGAATTTGATAAAACTGAAGTCGGATGGTGACACGAACACCTGTAAACAGAAAATTCGCAACCAAAATCAAAACTGAGCAACAGTAACAAAACTAAATCCTCTCACTGAAACCCTTAAGAATAGTTTTTCCGCTTAATGGAGCACCATGAAAGCGAGCAATTTTACCGATTTCTTTCGTATTCATTGATGTTATTCTAGTTTGCAAAATAAAGGGTGTCATGGAATTTCGAAAAATTTGCAAGTGTATTGAAACATAAACTTAACCTGGACCTCCTATATGCTGATGATGCTGCGCTAGCACTGTTTATTGATGACCCAGACAGATGGGGGAACATCTTGCAACCTTTGAACGGGAAGCTAGTTACATCGGCCTCAAACCCTCATGGGCAAAGACCAAGGTTTAATCCCCAGGAGGACCTCCATCTGCCCCGGTTTCCCATTGCCCCGATGTCGTAGATCCTGTTGAGTCCTTCTGCTACCTTGGAAGCACTATCATCACCTCAGGTCTGTGCAATTCCGATGTCCTACGCGGAATTGGCATCGCCAGCAACATCACAGGCCAACTAGATTGTCTTTGGAGAAGCAAGGCCAGCCTCCCTGTCAAGCTAAGGTTTTATCGACCTTGCGTGCTTTCTGCCCTCTTCCATGGGTCCGAAACCTGGAAACCTGGAGATCTCCAGGCCTTCCATATGCAGTGCCAGCGTTGCATACTAGGCGTCTAGTGGTCTGACTTCGTTTCAAATGCCACCATCTCTCAGCGCATGGGCTCGGTAATATCGTTTCGGAGGTTGCAGGGAGGCGACACACTTTGTTTGGTCATATCCGGCGCCTCCAAGCCCCGGCTCCTGCTCGTCTTGCCCTCGACGCTGCTATCCAATTCCATCTTGGTCAGCGACCTGCCATCTGAAGGAGGCCCAGAGGTCATCCCTGTCTTACTTAGCTTAATTAAGCAGGTTGTCGACACTGTGCAGCTGTCTCCAAATGAGTTCTGGTCCCTTGCTCTTGACAGGGGTGTCTGGAGGTCACTACGACCCTCTTGATGGTCATGTGCAGAATATTGATGATGGTGGTGGTGGTGGAGGTCGGCTTTCAGTGCCTCACACTTGGCTCAACAGATCCATGGCCCCGATGAATGTAACAGACGAACAAAGTAAAAGGCTATGCAAAGAAGTGGCCCTCCTTTTTGATATAACTAGTGTGCTTTTATACGGTTCATTGTCCTTACGGTTCATAACACATTGAGGAAAGACGTATGTGGAATGAATTCTAAAGGAATTTGAAAGAACCAGATCTGATCTGCAGAACAATACGCTCCGGGCATATATCTTTCTGTCTTGAACGCGCAAGCGTGGTTGTAAATCATTAACTGTCGCGGTATCGCACCACCGAAAGGTTTAGGTCACCACATACGCGGTACGAAATCGCCTACTGAACCTCAGCACTAGACAAAGGTTTGTTGATGTCGCTTATGTTTATATGCTTTGTCACAAATTCGTTGAACTTCCAGCAACGGACACCAAAAGCGAAGTATTTTGAGGCTGTCGACTGAACAACTTTGCACGTGCTGTCATGACGAGGATTAGGACCATTCTCGGCCTTGTCGGCTTGACGTTTGCCGGCATACAATGTCAGGACACCGTCACGTCTCCATATCGAGGTACATAAGCTTGGTGGGCCTTCAGTGTTGTTCATGTTTTGCTCGATGGAATTGTGACTATCAAACTAAACTTATGCCTCTGAATATACAAACTCGTAACTGTGTTGGGTTGTTCGCCTTTCACCAGACCCTTGTAATGTAGCGTACTCGAGAAGGTTCGAGTCCCACTTGAGCAAGTTTGTAATTTCTGCTTGGACGTTCTGATTTAGCACGGTATTAGCGCTTTTCATCCCAAAGGAAGTTGGTCAAAACAACCCACTTCAGGTTACTGGAATGTCTGTTTGCCATAATCGGTTGTTTTATGCTATGCCGATTCGCGAACCTTGCTTCGGGACCATTCGGTCGATATGAATAACTTTAAAGTGCAGCTGCAGTGAATTTCTTAGACACAATTTTTCTGCAACCTTGTACGCTTTTCGATGTATGAAAACGCTTTTACATTCCTTTCTGGTTAAATGCATTGACAAATTATCTATGCTTTCCAGGAACTGAGGGCACTTGTTGCTGTGATGTCATCTAGGGAAGACATGGTTTAGTGCACTGGTTTTCCGTTAGAACTTTGCCAAAACCAGACTATACTTAATGAAGAGAAATGGATTGATGCTTGCTCATTGCTATAATAAAAAACAATGAATACCAAAGAAGAGCAAAATTAGTCCAGTAAAAAAATTTAAAAAGTGTAGTTGGGACTATTGACATCTACAAAAATGCAGGACTTTTTGTGTACAAACGAATGTAACACTGAGGCTTGCTTCCTGGGATGACATCACAGGTTTGCCATGAATATGGAAATACGCATTAGCAGCATCCAAAAAGGCAGTAAAATAAACATTGAAATGATGAAAAAAAAGTTGAAAATCAGGTTCTTAAAACTTCCAGAAACTTACATAAAAATTCAATAACAGTTTTGATTTACAATCCAAATGTTGCCAGGTTGCTGGTAGCCATTTGCAGTGTTTTAACCGTGCCTATTTGCCCACGACCCTGCGACGTAGATTTTGAGCATGCTGTATAGTTTGGCACGTCCTCCCCATCCATGAAGACCCTGCCACATTGCTGTCAGTTTCCACTGAGTTCTGACTACGATGTGCAAGATCTCAAAACGATTGGCCAAAGCTCTCCCGATTGCTGAGGATGTAGTAGGATCATGTTTGAATGTGATAGGGATTTTAGATGTTTCGTTTCCAGAATTGACTTGCGATTCAGGTCAAGTCATGTGCGACGACGGAAAAAACTGTTATAGCTTAGCGGTGGAGCGTTGTAATGACATCTTCGAGTGTGAGGACGGAAGTGATGAGAAGAACTGCTGTGAGTACCTATTTTTTCTTGGGGGGGGTATTACAGCAGGTCCACAGAAGTAAATTCGCGATGCCACCATTGATAATTACGGAGGCGCCGGAGGGCTAAGTACGACAAACATTGGCAGGAAGCCCTCAAGCACTCCTGTTGGAATTGGGTTGTTTTCTTTTTTCGAGCACGAAAAGGAAACCTTGTCAGTCTGATTTAAGAAGCTCAAACAATTACTCAAGTCACTACACTTTACTTATATTATATAAACTTCTTGTAATTTTTCTTTGTTCGTTATTTTTACATGTGCAAAGCACGAGCGTTAACACTTCTTAGTATTGTGGAATCCATTAACACTTGAGTTACATGCAAATACAACTAATCCTAACAATTTTCAGTGCAACTGTGGTCAACTGCAACATCGTGTGATCGATTTCAGTGGTGGGTGTTGCAGAGACGAGAGAAGTGGCCACCAACTTGTCACGATATCAGTCTGCAAGACATACCTAACTAAATTGGGTTGGGATAGCTATTATTGTCCACGTTTATGGATCCCCGTAAGCGAATCATGACAGAGACCTTCCGTACGAGATTGTCACATGGACCCAGGAAACGCCATGTTTGTAGGCTCAACTTTGTTGGAGGAAACAAATGGGATGAAGTCTGTGGGCATAAATGCAGCTAATGTCGAAATGGTGATCAGGTCACAAGGAAAGCAGAGTTCACCTGAATTTAAATGTAGTCTCTGCAAGTAAAATGTCTTCCCATCCCCGGCCCAGACACTAAAAGCTGGGTACGCTGCTGCATGTTAAGTCATGTACGAAATACCCATGCATGAAGTCCCATATTCTAAATTTGGTTTTTTGTTTGCTGAAGTCAATTTGCATTCTAATTTGAAGTTGCCGTTTTATCGACAGCTTTCTGTTACTCAGGGGTGCAGTGCGAGATTTTCGAAGGCAGTGGCCAAGTGTGCATTCCGAGAAGGAAGATATGCAACGCAGTGAGTGACTGCACTGACAACCAAGATGAACCAGATAGTTGTTGTAGGTGTTTATAATTGGTCTCCGTGTTAAAGCAGAAATATCCATATCACATTTTTAAAAGAAGGTTTAAATTGTCAACGGAATAGCGGGCACGTAAGCCTTTTGTCTACGCAGCGTGTTGCTAAATCTCGTTATTGACCAACAAATATCCACTGACAACTGTTGTGAACTAAATTCAGTGTTTCACGTCGTTTCAACGGAGACTCCTGGAGAGTCATTTCATTCGTTGACATATGGAAAGGTTGAATGTCGATTCGAGCATTCAATCTGCCATCTGAGTGCAGTGTTCATTTTGAATTTCTCTGTTTCCACTCTTTTCTTGGTTCTGATAAAGGGTGCCAGGAAGATAAGTTTCGTTGTCTGACCCTTGACGGGTTTCATCTCTGCATTGGAAACGATGAAATTTGTGATTCAGACTGGGATTGCAAATATGGCGAAGATGAAAATCCGTCACTTTGCGGTAAGTTTGTACAAAGTATATCCGTCGGAGTCAGTTTCACCTTGCGTCGTATAACGAGATCACACTCCTTGGAATTGGACTGCTCTGCGAATTTAAGAATTTCCACGCTTTTTAAATGAGCTGGAGACAGCTAAAGGCAATTGGGAAAAAAACGGAATTTATTCACATATCAACGATTGTTTTATTCTTCATTCATTCAAATACCAATATCAGAAAATGACAATATAAGGAAACTGAAGACAACTATTCAACCTTTTGGAAAAGTAAAATCAAATTAACACATATATTGTTTATTGCAAAGTATTACTTATTTGAATTTACAAGAATCGGATGATTACAAGTAATTGTTATAAACAATAACAAAAGTCCAATGCATACAGATTTCTCTTTCAAAGAGAGGCAGGTGGCCCATTTCTGATATCGAATTGTTTTTTGAAAGGCTGTCAGTCTGGTTTCTACTGCCACCGTATCCCGAATGGTCAGTACGGTTGTCTGAATTCCTCAGACATTTGCAATGGTGATCGCCAGTGCATCAACGGATATGATGAAGGCGGAGATCTCTGTAGTAAGTGTTTACATTATTGGCTAGTTAAACCACAGATAATTAAGTTTGGACTACTTTTCCTTTTGGCCAAACTTTAAGTTCGCGACTGCCAGGGTAACGCTGAGAAATACATCCAGACTACTCGATGCCTTTTGCATGATCGTGACATACAGAAAACCTGCTGGTCCATAGCGCAACAAGAGAATATCGTGGGAATCCAACTTGTACGTGACACGTATACTGGCGGTGGTAGTAAATGTGATAACATTGCAAAATGAAAGCATCACCAATTAAGTGGTATATTTTGAATATATAGGGATAACAATGTGTGCAATGCATGGGCCAGTAAGGGGAAGATATCACCCACCTAGTAATTCTCCTGCTGTGGAATAGGAAAATGTCTGATCGTTCCCGGTAACATGCGAACTTCGTTGTCTTCAGTGTCATAGTCCAGTGTAGTTAACCATCTTTTTCAGTCTGAATACCAATCCCGATGTTTCATGGGACTTCCCCACCCAAGTGCTTGCCATCAGAAGATTGAAGAATGACCTTGTAAAATGAAAACCAAAATATGAAGAATGACTTGTATAATTTCAAGCCCCTCATTATTAGCCAATCATGACAAAAAAGAAAGCTGCAATGAGGTTATACTAAACTCATAACCGTCTCTTAATAGTCGGGTCTTATTAAATGCTGACTCCTAAAAAAGAGGGCAAATGGTAATGGGCGCTGGCTGGTATTACAAGTCGTCCCAAAATACCAAAATATGAAAGAAAGCATTTTGAACCAGAAAGGCTTTCTCTTTTACTTGTATGATGACACACTCATGGACGACTTTTACAATCATTCTCATAGAGTCTGCCCCCTCTGGTACTGGTCGTCTGGTAGACTGGATGGCATCTTTATTGGTTACATCATCTTTGCTGTCATCATCGTTGTCATTACGTGCATGATCCCCCAAAATGCAAACCGTTTGATGAGTGACCCATGATGAGCGACTCCGCGCGAAAACTGGAGCCTACAGTGAAATACACTCATGGATTCTCGTTTGTTGTTAAAATATTCAAAGATCAGAAATGCCATGAATGACAGAATCCACAACTCTAATTTCACTAGAAACGTATACTATAAATTGCATTTGTACAACACATGACACGCCACATATAAGTTCCATGGTTCAAATGTCCACATTTTCCTGATGTATATTGCTGTGATAAATTCTGTATACACTTGAACCTAATCGTGGAAGTATGTTTTTCCCTAGGATTTGCCCACAACTTGTATGGGCAGCCACAGCTTGCAGAAATATCACCTTCTGGTTGGTTTTTCGATGTTACAAGGCTAAAATTCATTCAAAACGGACATTTGTTCCATTAGTTCCGAATAGGGTGATATGTTCATTTACTATTAGGTACAATGTGTATTTTCATCTGGTGTTCTGTAGCTGATGAGTGGGATTATTTTAACACTTTGTGAATTATTCTATTACTTTTGTACCGACGGCCAGAGCTAATATTTGGGCTATACTCTTGTAGGAAGAACTCGACCACTCGAGGCACATACCTCACAGATTCATGAAACACTTCATTTTAGTACGAAGAGGGTAGGGCATAGGTAGGGCACATGCAGGTTTCATGCATATAATCATGTCATGACATTCGGGTAGGATTTTCTAAAAATGTTGATTACACCGACCTGTTATTAAGTTGTTTCAATTTCTGCTCAGTTTCAATGACACGATTGTGAGTGGCTGGTCGTTCGAATTCGTGCCATGAGCATGTGAATTGTTTTCTTTTCATGACTATCTGCGGTATGTGCGAATTCCAAAGGTCAAAAATCCTGAATATAGGGTTACGTGTAATAAAGGTTAACCACTTGTATTATATGAAGCTTAAAGTATAATTTTACAGAATGGAAAACGACGAAACGATACAGAGGTGTAGTGACAAGGACATGAAGCTTGCTGAAGAATTATTCGTGTCTGCTCTTTTGACGTCATGGTGTCTGCAAATGCCATCGTTTCATGTTTTTTTGCAGTTGGTTACTTATTCAGTATAATGGTATCTCTACCAGTTATATTTTTTCACTACAGGTTTAAGTGTTCTTTTATTTTTGTTTAACTACCTATAATGTTTAGCATTTTAATTTCTCTTTTGTCTTCGTGTGTATAATTATATATAGGGCCTATATTTGATTTTATACGATGCCTGTGGAGGAGGAGGCCTGTGGGGTACATCCAGTTGACATTTTCTTCTCCTGGCATCTGCTGCAGGCACTGTTTTGTCCTTGTCTTAATAGTAGTAGGCCTATATTGTTCTTTTTACTGTTATTGATGCCAAATAAATAAGTATATAGACCTGTATATGAGGAACAAGTCACGTTCTTAAGCGATTGAAAGCGTGGGGGGTTGAAAGCGTCAAAAACGTCTGAAGTTGAGCTTTGCCACAGTTATAAGTTTCCAAGTAGGTTCATTTTGACTGTGATGTTATTATGTGAATACAAATCTTTTGAAATTTAAATCAGTATCTGATAAAAATGAACAGAAATCGGTATTTTACAGATGAACAAGTTTTGTACATACAGTTAATACAGCTACATCGCAAGTGTGTTTTGAATTTGGTTGTTTGTTTTACATTTCACAGAGCTGATTACGAAATAACCCATGTGAAGAGGCCCGTGGTTAGTGCTCTTTAAACACTTGAACTCAAAAGAATTTGAACTTTGCTGCGTATTGTTACGGAGTCTGATGTCACCGTAATAAACCACTGCTGTCGAGATGACTCATAGTCACTACCGACTGATTTGTTGAATCATTTTGGAGTCTGATTATAAACTGGGTCTCTTTTTATGAGGTTGGTTGATAAATGATGTGAAATCACAGGTTAAAAAAGGGGTGCCAGCGGTGCGAGCCAACTGACGAGAAATTCAGTGGAATGCCCGTTCCTTAAAAGCAAAAAATATTAAAAACCGAAGCAATTCAAGATGAAGACAACTGAAAAAATAGATATCCCACAAACGCACACACGAGAAAATTAAACGAGTTACACAAAACATGTACATGTATTTGCCACAACGGCCGCCGTCGAAACAAGGAATCCTTCAGCCGAATTTGGGGAAAACGACCATTTCGCCTGCAAGATGGACTTCAGCACCCCCTACCAGTCCTCTGGCCCGGCCTTGTGAAATCCTTGTTGAAACTGGTGACATGATTGAAACTGGGCGCAAATTTATACATCCGTTATTATACAGTCACATTCTTTCACAAGTCCGGTAACTATAGTCGGAAGTAACTAGGTGAACGATGACAACTCTCTTTTGATGTAAATATATTGTGACAGAGGCCGATCTAGAGGGGGGCTTTGGAGGGTTGCAACCCCCCCCTTCAGTTGCATACTAACTTGAACTACCAGAGAAATGACGGAAAATGGCGAAAATTAATACCTACCCAAAAAAATAAAAACAATCCAAAGGTGTATTGCGAAGTCCATCTATCCATCTATAGTTAAACAGTTACATCGATTTCCTGTGGATCCCCTTAGCAGGGCATCCCTTCAGTAGGCCCCCCCCCCATATCCTGAAAGCTAGATCCGTCCCTGTACTCTGTTACTTGGGTTAAGACTGAGCAAATTGTGATGGACTTGCAAGAGCTTGTGTCAGACTCGACTACATCCGCCACAGCCGGGCCGTTAATCTGTATCCATCTTCGAAATGTTTCATCGAAATTGGACAGCAGGTTTTTTAGTTGTGGTCATTGGTATTTCGCATCACGTTCAGTAAATAAGTACTTCCTCCTTTCGGACTCAAGCAGAAGTGCCCCTTCATCGGTTGAAAGGGGCGCCTTGTTCGGGAATGTTCAATTTGCTGGGTAGCGATGCGACTGGATGGAAAATAGCGGTCCAGCTCGAGGCCTGTATGCTTGGTCGGTGGGAAATATTTCGTTCAACACTCAAAATGTTTACTGCGTATTTTACGTTTCAAGGGTCTGAAGCGGGGCGCGGCAGACACTGATCCGGCTCCGGTGACAGATTCTTTGTTAAAAACAAAACCGACTTGACGGTCTTCAATCCTCCAAAATCGTCCCGAATTTCTTTGCGGATTTTCAAAGATGCGGAAGAGTCACTTAATCACTTTTTTGAAGTGTCAATAAAATACATGTGAACTTGCAGAGATAAAAGATAGATGTACACTCACACTACCATTTATCTTTACTATGTTAAACTCAATAGCGGACACTTCGAATGAAGTGAAATAATGAAATCAGGCCAATTATTTACATGAAATTCATACACTGAATGCAAAAGCTGATTTAAATTGAAACAAGTGGCCTAAATTGAACAAAAAATCGTGCCAAGCCACATTGTGCATCACAAATGAGCATTTATACTTCTTAACAATAAAACCCGAAAGGCTCACAGGGGCGATCGCTCTTTACACTTAGCAAAATCTAGACAATTACCCGATCAAAAATGTTCCAAAATACTAAAAATTCTGATTTCAATAATTTTTTTTTTTTTAACAATCAGTGATTTAAATCGCAATCGTGTCCAGTCAAGACTTGGAGCAAGGTTTACAGTGTCTTTTTGCCTCGTCTTACCCCTCTGCGGCGCGGGTTCGAATTCCGCCAACGCCGACATGTGGATTGGATAAGGTAGAAATACAAACATGTACCATATAAGTAGCGGCAGCGATTTTGTAGGCAGGGAAACATTGAAGCCTTGGTGGGGGGTGTTCGACCACCTTACCAAGGGAGAAGGGTCATTCTGTGGCCAAGTTACTGTATTCCCTGACCTAACAATGGGGCTAGGGTCGAACACCGCCCCCTTAGGTCTGAAATCTTGCCTTAAAAACCTGACACAAATACACACATCCTTTGTTCATCAGTCCGTGAGGTTTCATTCACGTAAGTTTTGTAGTTATGGTCAATGGTATTTTTAAGCAACAACCATACAGTAAATCGGCAGTTTTTTTCTACATCGTATTCGGTCAATGAAACGATTTACATGTACATGTACTGTGGAGACAAGTTTGACATTTAACAAAACTCGATTCTACAAAATTGGTGTCAAACGTGTGCCACACATTACTCTACAAGCCCATTACATGGGGTTCGGCACAGTCATTAAGAATGGAGGGCGATGTTTGTATCAATTATCCTTGCTGAATCCTGCATTATCCTCCTCAACCTTTGGGTACTTTCCGCAGGATCCACTTGGGTTTCATGACGTCAGCAGTGAAGACCCATCTGAAGTCTGTTTCAAGCGGAAAGTCCACTAATGTTATTTCTCACCCCATCTTAGAATTTGCAACACATTAAACTCGGCAAATAAGCAGAGGCACACCGACTAGGTAACAGCTTTCGGTGAAATCTATGCTGGTTTATTTACGTGAAGAGATTAATGTTAATTAGATAAAACTTCAAAATAAGTACACTATATAATTTGTAAGCACAATAATCCAATAAATAACTACTTTTCAAACATGTCAGAAAAGAATCCGCAAGCATTTTGCTACAGCGCATCAAGAAATGCTGCATTATTCTCTTAAAATATTGTTTCCATTAAAAAATCCACAGAAGAAAGGTTTTGACCATTATGAAAGCACTCCTTTTTGTTTTCAAAATTTGTCCCAATTCAACTGTCATAAGCGTTTTAAGCGTGTTATTTCACAGTAATGACTTGCGGTAACCAGGTTACTCTTCAGACTGTAACATCTAAGTGTTCCATTTACCTGGTGTTATACAGTGCGACAAAGTTGACGCAAGCAAGGTGTCAAATTGAAGCTGATGAGTTACTTCGTATCGTAGTAAACTTTTCACAAGTATAAACCATGTATTCTTGACATAGCTGACCTATGAACTTCGGTTACCTTTTCAGGCACACACTGTATATGTTGACAGTTATCGCACAAAGTCGTGACCACAGGTCAAATCGGTATGGTTTACTGCATTATGTCATACACCTCCGGGACAGGCTAAATTGTTATCTGAAGACTCCAATTCGGACACAAGCACAGTTTTCTCAGTGGGGCAGCAGTCGGGGGCCAATTAACCCTCATATTTTGTGCCGAGTGCCCTTTTCCCAAGCAACTACCCCTTATTACCTCCAGTCAAAAAAAATACTCCTCGACCTATAAGAATGCGCAGTGCTTTTCTTGCATTACCCCTTCCCCAAAAAGTCGTTTTGCAAGTGCACCTTCACTTCCATTCAAGGGATAGTAGAAATGATGCGCATTCTGCATCACAACCACCATAAATGTGAGCTTTGCACACCTAAGCTTTGCGCCTCAATCTTCGTCTTCAGGCGTGGGTTTTGTGAACACACCACTGGTACTGACACTAGACGTGTGCGATATCACGTGATGCCTTGTGGACAGTGGACTGGTTTCATAAGTGCAGATGTAAACAAAGTGTTACATCAGTACATAGGCTTGTTGGGTCTCTCGAGTTAAAAACCTCAACATCCTGCTTCAGAAACAACAAATTGTTTAATGGGAATTGTCAACGAACACTGGAGCACCAAATGAGGTCCGAGACAAAGTCCAGGTTCGGTAAGGGGCAAATACTTGTGCAAGGGTGATCAAAAACTAATTTTCGGGGGGGGGGTGATCTTTAACATGTCTTTTCTGCGGGGTGAGGCTAAATTTGGCCAAGGGGAATGTAAAAAACTTGTTCCTCTTAAAAAAAAAAAAATTTTACCCGTCTGGATGCCCCACTGTTCCTATGTCAGCATCCGATGATGGGTGAAATGAAGGAAAGTACCGGCAAAAGCTCAAACATCACTAAACATTCCATGCTGTTCATTACAATAGCCAAGGACGGATTTCAGGTGGTTATGGTAAAAGGTACATGTTAAATTGTACACAACTGACCCAGTCTTATTCCCAGCATGTAACTGTCGCCAGGCAAGAGCACCCACGTCATAAATCATGCGGCTGTGTGTGCAATGATGTGAAATTGACAAATTTGTGATGGAGACAGCAATGGGGAAAAAAGCTGCAAATAGATCGAGTTCACGGATGACAAGCATTTCCCCCATGAACGGTTCTGATCTGCCATCTTTGATGTCTGGGCTAGTCTAATGTGGATACTGCTCTCCAATGGCTGTTTCTATTCCACAAGGCGCTCCTGTGGAATAAACCCTGAGCCATAGCCATGTGACACCCAATTTGGGCACCATCTGACAACTAAGATGAACTGCAAACGATTGTGTTGGATTTGTGTCAACGTTCATGCAGGACCCATCACTGGATAAACTGCTTAATGTTTCAAATCTTGACTGGGTTCTTGAATTGAAGAGCTGATGTCATCGTCTTCAGATTTTTGAGTAAGAATAGCTCTGAATAGTATACTGGGAGGTTTAAAACACTTCTGAACCAAGGTGGAGCATAATATTTAATAGAAAGGTATTTTTTGAGCAGAAGGGGGCGGGGAGACTGTGATTGTGGAGAGTGTGGGCAGAGATTTCTTGTCACATGTGGGAAAGGGGGATGAATTCTGAAAAAGAGATCGTCCTTGTGCAGAGCATGACATGGCACAGTGTCAAGATCCCATTTTAATTAGAGGGGATGATTGCATTGGTAATCCCCCCGTCAAAAGAATATATATCCCCCCCCCTGATGTCCACCCATGGTGGGAAGTCTTTTAAACTAAAAAGGAGTATGGTGCGGAAACGTACAGAAGGATTAACAGGGTCAACCGTCTGCCATCGGTCACATTCTTAACTGTTTCATAGATACCATGATTCCGATTCAACGTTTTTTTAACTTGTTAAACTTTTTTTAACTTGACGACAAGGCATCAATAATTCTGACTAATGTGGATAACCTTTTGGGCCTAAAAATACTAAACTTCCTACGATTCGGTGGCAAAACATGAACAAAGGCAATGCAACAGAGCCCTTTAAGTAGAAACCATTACATCTGGACATCTGCTGTCCTTGCATAATGCCATTCATGGAACATCTGAAAAGCTGAGAGAGTTTGTGTTTTATCAGACCATCTCAAAATTGACGCATCCATGAGAATGGTCCGCTTACGTAGGCCGTTGTGAGGCAGCGTCCTGATGGAAATGTCATGTTCTCAGTGAAACGGTCGCCCGTCCTGGAACACAAACAAGGTACAAAGTGTTCCAATGGAACGTTGTGACTGTTTGCCATCCTGAGACACTCTGTTACTCCATGGACTGCGGCCAGACCCTGCTAAATTGGGTTTTAAAAACCAATTTAAAAATTCATTCTTAAAATATTTTTTAAAAAGGTGAAATTCTTAACCAACTTGAAATTATTTTCAGTAAATGCTTGTCTCGCTCTGCCAACCAGAAAACAGCCCTGTGGCATTTTGGCACTTTGTCTCACCCTATTAGTGAACATTACTCTGTGCTTAGCTAATAAACAACTGCTTAAGGAAAGCATTCAGTACATGTATATTAACCTGACTTGGCAATCAAACTTTGTCAGAACCAGAAAAACAAAACACTTAGCAGTGACATGTCATTTGTGAAATGTCACTGGGCCCATTTCAATGAAGCTAATAAGAACAAAATACTGCTTGACAAGTTAACATGCAAAGCAAAACCTCAGCTGACAGAACCATCCACATGCAATATAAAATTGCATGTCATTCTTAACTTGTAAAATGCTGTTAAGCAATCATTTTTGATACTAAGCAATGTTTTTTCTGCTAAGCTTCTTCATAAAATGGATCCCTGTTTTTCCTCCCGGCTGGTGCTTCGCTACACTACTACTCAGGGACTGAACCTGTGGAATCACCTGCTAAGCGGTCTTTTGACTCTGGTTCTCCAATAACCCGATGTGATTGCCCAGTCAACCAGTCAGGGGTATGACTCCCACCCCGACTCCACCTTCGTGGGCCATCATGGAGCCTACCAGAGTCCAGTCGTCCAGCAGGGGGTCGTATCGCTCCACTGAGCTCAGGTTGGTCAGCCCATCGTAGCCCCCTATAGCGTAGAGGTGGCCTTGGTTGGCCACCAAGGCCACGCGGCTCCGCCTCGAATTCATGGGCGTGGCCGAAGACCAGAGATTGGTAACAGGATCATAGACCTCCACGGTGTTTAGGAATTTGCAGCCGTCGTAGCCACCGCAGACATACAGCTTGCCGTTGAAGGCGGTCACACCAAGCCGGCAGCGCTTGCTCTGCATGGGGGGAACCACTGTCCACCGTCCAGTGAAATGATTAAAACATTCCACCTGGATGAAAAAAAAAGACACAAGTCAGGCTGTTTTCAAAAGTGCAACCTCAAAAAAAGCCCCCCCCCAAAAAAAAAGTAAAGAAACAAGTCTTCCCTTTTCAACAATTTGAATTCTTGAATCAAACATTTACAATTCTGATTGTGGAGACAGGAGAACCTGTTTGTAAGTTGCACAACATTTTCTTCACCGCATTTGATCACCTCCCTCACCGTATGATGGCGCTTCTTCACTTACCGAATTAAAAATCTGCAGTCCGTCATGGCCCCCTACTGCATAGATTTCACCATTAAGTACAGCCACACCTGCAGCACTGCGTGATTTGGTCATGTCCGATACTATATACCACCTGGGGCAGACAAAAAATATGTAGAAGGAAAACAGCCTTGGTAACCCTCATCAAGTTTTTCTCGAGTAAATTCCTAAATTTCTGAGAAACCTACTGCCTTGGTCTAACATGGTGAAGGCTGTACAACATCATGCAGACAGTGCAAACTTTGTCAGTCGCACCACAAACTGACGTTGCGCACAATGTCTATACACCATACATCATTTCATGGCACAGCAAAACTATCATATTCATCACTTTACAGTGCAAGCGACGAATCTCTTATCAACATTACAACGTGCAATAATAAAAAGTGAATGAGTGAGCTGATTAAGTCTTTTGTTTTTTTCTCTCAACAGTCGGCGGGCACCACATGACATGAAGTTTGACATGCCTCTTTGTTCATCCTCAGGGCACGTTTTCTGCAGTTCTTGAAGCTGTTGAGTTCTTTTATGCAGGTGTTTGCCAGTTTTTAAATTTGCATCCTAGAAACGTGGCAATACAGAGTAAGACTGAGTTTTCGTGATCACCCAGTTCCAACTGGGTTTATGACCAAACGCGAAACCTTACTTATTAGTGTCCGGGTCATAGCATTCGACGGAGCTGAGAGACGATATGCCATCGTAGCCACCACATGCATAGACGCGGCCATCTAAAGCAGCTACACCCAGGGCACTGCGTGGTGGAAAATCAAACCCAAATCTCATTAAAATGTGTTTTTGCTTTCAAAAGAATGGTTTGTAAAGATGCATGGGAGGTCAATAACATTTCTGGCATAATGGGGCCAATTTCATAGAGCTGCTTAAGCGAAAAATTTGTTTAAGCGTGAAAAAACCTTGCTTGATAAATCAGGTTACCAGCCTGAACTTCTTGTGATGTACACTGCTTTCGAATGGTACATTCTTTAGTTAGCATGACAATCACAGAGAGTTTGAGCTGGCAACCTTTATTTATAAAGCAAGGTTTTTTCGTGCTTAAGCAAATCCTGTGCTTAAGCACCTCTATGAAATTGGCCCCAGAACTACTAAACCATTTTTAACAGTTCAAACACAAAACAAAATGCTACAGTTCGGAATTGTTTCTCATCTCCTCGAGTGACTGGTGCACGCTTAACGATGGTGACTCAGTCCAATCCAGTGTGTATACTGCATTTTGCTAGATTCTGTAGAAAAACTTTTATGTCTGGCGACATGTGGCAACTTTGGACCACTTATGCACTCTGAAGGACAATTAAAACAAAAACTCCAACCGTATCATACCTTCGCCTGCTGTTCATAGGGGCGACGTCCCACCACTCACTGCTGCAAGGATCAAACACCTCCACCGTGTTGAGTCGAGCCTGCCCGTCGTACCCGCCGATGGCGTACAACCGATTGGCCAGGACGGTCACTCCCACTCGGCTGCGGGGGGTGGTCATGGGCTTGCCAACCGTCCAGGTGTTGGTGGCCGGCTCGTAGAGCTCCACCGCATTGAGTGACTCGCCTGTGACAAAGAAATCTGGGCGTGTGGTTGAGTGTCTGGTTAAATGCATGCCTGCGCTGGGGTACCGTGTCAATTTGACCCCCCCCCTAAAAAAATGCTGTGCTAAGCTAACGTAATCTGCAGCGTGAAAGAAAAATGCCAATGTCAAAAATAAAGGTCGGCAGCATTACCCCTGAACTTCCAGACATCCCTCAAAACTCTCGAGGGGACTTCTGAGGATTTAGAAGGATTGAGGAAGGTAACTCGCTCCACTTGCTTCACTATTGGGTTTGACAGCCCTGAAGAGCGTAAGTACAGAGACTGTGCTGCTGGTTTACTGAACAGTGGGATTTTGGAGAATTTGGGCATGTTCCTGGTAAAAATGCATTGGTGCGAGGGGTTAAACTGTGTTGCTTACTTTTCAAGCTTAGCCCGCTTGAAGTTTGAGCAACCTCTAGCAGCTCTTTGTAGCAAGCATGGACACTGTTTCTTCGCCAGCAGATGAAATGCTTAACTTATGCACAGCATGGAATGAACATACAGACAACAGGCATGCAACGTAAAAAACAAAACTAAGAAACAAAAAAGAAAACAGAAGTTTCTGTAAAGTAAATACTCATTATTTAAACACATTCATTGTGACGAGGGTAGGCTTAAGGAGGAGACATCACATTATAACTCAGTCAATGATCCAGTTCAGTCAAATGCTGAGGTCATTGAGAACAAATCACAACAGTTTCATCTTGTCCAGTGCACGGACATCAGCACATGGCTATCCTGATAGGAGCAACCCTGCACACCCAGAGTGCTTTTCTCGCATGACCTCCAACACGCTTGTGGCCGTGCACCGTTGGAATTGGCTAAATTGGCTCATTAGAAAGTGCCATTGACAAATTCAACGAGTCTTTTAGACAATTGTGGTAGGGGTGTCCATTGGGACAGGGTACCCAAGTACCTAATTACTGATCTCACGAACAAATTCCAATGTGGGCTGCTCTACAGGTTTTGGGGTCATACTTTTATTCATGTTCCTGTAAGTTTCGAACACTTTTTTTCTTACTTCAAAGACAGATTAAGCGATTGCAAATTACCTGCCTAACAAATGAAAACAGTTTGAAGCCAATTTCAATATTTCCATGTCAAATAACACTGGCTGGATGCAACTGGGTCACACAAACGTCTCACTTTTTGCCCAAGATTTGAATGACCCCAAGTATGATGAGCACATATACGTGACCTCAAATACCCAACTTTACAGATTACTTAGTAATTTCTTGGAAAAGTAGAAATATTTGAAAAGGGGTTTTTCGGTCAGGGTTGTGAGTGGCAATGTAAAGAGGAACACTCTAGAAAATCCTCATCAAAAAACTAGCTCAAAGGAGTAATCACAGTTGGGCAAAAATAAGCATTCTCCAATAATTTTCTCAACCACAGGAGAACAAAGGAATGTCCACACTACATGTATGTGAGACAAACAGGTGTGTGAGTTAATGTACGAAACAAATGAGGGATTGACAGGTATAGCCATGTGAGTTGAATGAAGGCATGGTTGATGTCTTAACCTGTGAATTGTACCTTCTACAGAGAGAGATGGATGGTGTTTGTGTGTCTTCCAGAATGAAGTGATTAAATGGCCCAACAACGATGCCTTGTGCTCCCACGGGAAAAGGGTACAAAATTTGCGCTAAACCTTACGTACCTAGTGTGGACTTGTTAACAAAAGATGTCCACATGATGCAGGAAAGGAAGAAGTTCTGTGGGCTTACCCATGTCCACAGGACATTTCTCCTTCCCTGCAAAAGAAGTTTCGAGGCATTTTGGGGCTAGGGTTATCAGAAATCCAACTGAAAATCCAGTTCTCGGTTCGAGGAAAGAGAGTCTTTTCACCGAGTTTTCTTAACTGCACGAAAACAACGGGATGTCCACACTAGGTTAAGTAACGTAGGTGGGTGTGTGGTTACTGTTTAAAACTGAAACATGTCCACTCACCGGGTGGCATTCCTTCAGGAGTTTTCACTTTTTTTGTTATTGCATAAATGTACCCAGACTTACATCTTCTACCAATGAGGAAATTATGAGTGAATGTCGTTGGCATTAGGGGCATGCAAGTCCCCACTGCCCCGACCCAACTACCTACCTGCTCTGGTCAATCCGCCCACTGCATAGATCAGACCGGCAATATCATTGCATAGCCTCGGCTTGGTGCGTTCGTTCTGGAAGAGGGCCCTTCGCTCTGGCATCAAGTGATAATCTTTGGCTTCATCGACAAGATCCCTGACACAGAAAATGCAAACCCAGCCGTGATTATCATCAACCTAGAGAGCATTGAACTTCATTCAAAGAACTGGGGCTCCATACTTCACACATCTTGGACTATGATTGCATCTCCTAGGAGAAGGAAATGATTAATTAAATGGGATTTGAACCAAAGACCACTTGTCTGCTGTTCAAGCAGCCCTACCAACTGAAACAAAGCTAATTCTAAATATACATTTCTGCAACAGCTCTGCAGTGCATATGCAATGCTGCCCATTGAAGGGATGTTAACCTTGTCCGCAGAGATCCCTCCAACACTCAGGAAAGGAAATCACATTCCAGTCTTGCAACCTCCTACCCAAATAACACCAATCTTTTGGCTCTTTGGCAGACTTGCCTGCACTGATGTGAACTCCTAACAAGGTCTTCTGTTGACACTCGGTCAGTGAGGATCTGAGGACGGATGAGTGGGAGTCGAACCCTGGACAGCAGCTCCGGCATTAAGGACCTCCGGCCGGCTAGGTCGTACTTCACCCAGCCCACGACAGCATCAAACACCTGGGAAGAAGGTCCGGCAGATTCAGTCACTGAAATCAACTCTTGGAAAACTGTTTAAGATTCTTTCTGCAATTAAATTACTTTCATAAAAACTGACAAATCTAATTCTTTCCTGAATGTGAAATTTTCAGCACACACGTACATGTACACCCAATTTTATACTATCCCTGATCAAAAGTTTAAGCAGATGTAATCATACCAGAGTGACTGTTCCCAGTATGTGTTCTTGAATTCTTCTCTACCTTGTCAAATGGCAGATTTTTTGGACTCTGGGCAAAGGTTTGATCGCAACACTGTAAAAAGTGGTAATCACACTTGAAATAAACTGAAATATTTTTGATTCTAATTCTCCAAGATTAACCAGAGACTACATAAAATTATTGATGCCTTGTTTCATTTTAATACAGGTATATGCTTTGGTCACACTATACTGCGCAGAAATTATACAAATGGTGGGAATTCTTACTTGCTCTTCACCGCCAACGTTGAGCTCGTCTGTTGAAATGATATCCATGAGTTCATATTTGCTGAGAGTCAGGAACTCTTCGGACAGGGAGGTGTCCACAAATTTCTTGTGCATGAAGCTGGTGGACGCCTCAAAGAGTTTGGAGCAGACCATGGTGTCGGCAAAGCGACGTATGCCCAGACAGTTGCTTGGGTGTAACCTGTCGAGGTCAGACACAATCGGCAGAAACTGTACACAAAACCTTGCTAAACAGCACAAAAACTGTTTCTGAAACCCTAACTCACTCCGCCTCTGTCCTAGGATGCAACCTCGATCCCGCAAAATACTCCTAAACCTGGATGCATGTAAAAATTTGTTCATGCCTCAATCTTCCGTAATTCTCTTTCACTTCTTACTCTCGTGTGTTCCTTGGAGGGACGACCACAGCCTCAATCCTTCAAAATCCTCCACTAATTCATGTCAATATGATTCACTGTAGAGTGGTGTGGCTAATTTCCAACAAAATGCCTACATTTATGCGTGGCTAAGCACAAACAACACAAGGTCCATGCCTAGACCGTGACACAATGCATCCTTCAAAATTAAAAACTAGTTTTTGCCAGACAGCCTTAACTATGTCAACCTTCAGAAATCCTCCATTTATGCAATCGGTATCTTGGAGGATTTGGGATTTGGGAAGTCATCAAAATCCCGAGTGTGCTGGATTTAGGAATCAGGGAACCTCCGATCATAGGACTCCCTGGGAGACCAGATTTACACCTGACTAACCTCCAACAATCTGAGATATGTAGGGGCCAATTTCACAAAGATTGTCAATACATAAACTGCTGACCAATGAAGTAACACAGCAAAAACTTGGAACCAGCCGAACTGTTATGCAGCCTAGGTGCTTTGTGACTGGTTCTCATCAATTTTTTTTGCTCAGCCAACAAATTTGCGAAGCGATCATCTCTGCTTCTTAGCAATTCTATGAAATCAGTTCCTGGAAAAATGACACAAACACAAATTCATACAAGATGCAAACTTTGACAGGTTTTTCAAGCTAACATCTGTCCCCAGGCACCACTGCATGTCCAGTTTCCTGAGCAGGTTAACGGAAGGTTCAAATTTCCCACACAGATGCCTTGCAATATGGAGAAAGGCAAATGGGCAAAAGAGGTTTCATCAAGATAGAACAGGTGAAACACAGTTCCGGGCAGAAAAAAACCACGATATGGTGACACGTGAAAGATTTGGCTAGACGTACCTTTCTCGGAGAAACTCGCAGCATGCCTCTTTAATATCCTGCAGCTGCAGGAAGTTGGCCCCAACTAGTATTGATTGCACATTGTGTATGTCCATTGCTACTTTTCCACTGTATGCATAGTTTACTAGCGTCTCCAAAGCACTGTTTGCAAAGAATGATGACACAAAAATACAGGTGGATGTTAGGTACACTTACCCCCGTTGAGTCTCCGGTAGTGCTAAAAACGAGTACAGTAGATTCCCATTATAACGTTCCCTGATATAACGCTTTTACCATGTTTACTGATATAACACTCTATTTTCATTTCCCCAACTGCACGCCCATTCACTGTGTACACGTTTATGTGTTTATAGCGCTCCCATTTACATGTGCAATGCTTTTCTGGATATGATGCTCATGACATTCGGCCTCGAGAACCATATACAACATGTGAAATGATTCCGGTTACAGCACTTTTTACCTTGGAAAATCAGATTCTTTGATAATTAACATATTGCAAACTGCATCGCAAGGCCGCCGTGATCGGCTAGCCATCCTGGACACCAGTATTTTACCAATCACACAGAGTGCAGACACGCACTGGGCCGTCCATGCAGCGCGATTGCAAAATCGTGCTCACCACAGTGGGCCGCAACCGAGTGCCTTTGCTGTAGAAACACTGTAGTGATTATTTTCCCACTTTTTATTTATTCTCATGGCGTAGTTTGGGACAGAAATAATCAACACTGACATACTTCATGTAGTATTTTGGTACCTAAAGGTTTCCTCTACAAATAAATAAAACCAGCAGCTTAAATTGTACATACATGTATATGTGTATCTTCGTGTAGAAAATCTTGTCTTTTCGCCGACTGTGTTTGCCGTGACATGTCGGATCTGTTTTCAGTTGGGTTTTCTAATGACATATCACTTTCTGCGGTCACATGGTTATTGGGCTTTACAGGTACGAGTACATAAGTTTTGAAATTGGAAATTCTGCACAGAATGGTACATGTACCCACTTTCTGATATTCCAAAATCTGTGTCTCATATAATATAAGGAGACTTACTGTCAAAGCTTGACATTTTGAAAGGATTTACATGAATTTCATTTACTCTGTTTATCTATCACTCTAGAAGAAATTCTGCATTCCACTCCCTGACAGAGCCTGATAAGCTCTTTGCGCATTACTTTCCCTGGATTTGCGTCGGCCCTACAACAACGGCTGAAATGGCGCACTTTTGGATGGGTTTATTAATGTCGCCACTGAAGCCCTCCCCTCCTTCACCTACTGTAGTTGATGCATGAAACTAATGACTTCTCTCAATCAGGGTGAAGTGTGATGTGATGTTGGGCGAATCCATACAGGAATCGATAGGAATCAACTCCAAACTTGGAATCAGAATCGTACTTCCACTGTTTGGAATGCAGCCGTAACCTCTGGATGGTATCTTCTTTATAAATGTCATTTGCACTAGTGATGATTGGCATTGATTGTGTGTGGAAACCGATGCTAAACACGACTTGCTGTTACTACTTTTTAAATATTGTCCATTGCTTCAAGACGTCATACTTCAAGAAATGAACAATTTTTGTAAGCCTCGTCATAATAAACACTGCAGGAATTCCAAAACCGTCTGACAAGGGGTCAGCAATCAAAATCCAGTGGTTTGACTGTTCAGTGATTTCATGCATTACTTGCAGCGCTAAAGCAGGACTGTAACGGCAGTCCTACGACAGGTTTGTTAGTAGCTCGAATAAACTTGCCTCGGCTCGATGCCGCTCATAGTGATCTCTTCTTGTTTACTCTCCACCATGTCACTGGTGAACATGGCATGGAAGTATGGGATGTTGGCAGCCAGGACAATGCGGTGTGCTGAGAATTTGCTCTCTCCAACCTGTGGCAAAAAAGCAGCAATAATTGCTGATTACTACAAGAGGAAATATGGGGCCCACATCTTTCAACGCCAATTCCAGGGGTAATTTTGGTTAAAAAGCTTCACTGAATCCTCTAAAATCCTCCTATGTGCTGACATAAAGTAGTGCACGCTTTGCGCCCGTTAGAAACTTTTATTAGACAAACATACATGTACTAGTACATACATTTCCAAGGTGTTAAAGGATCCAGGACATGAATTTTTCTCAGAATCACATTTTGTGTATCGCCGTACTCTTCTTCCATGCATGAAGACTGTTTGACATCTTTTTTGAGTTGCTTGAACTGAACGGTGCACTTTTTCAAACATTAAAAACTGGCCAAGCATTTCTGTACACGTGAGGGCACTTTTGCTTTGATGTAACTCCAGGAACATATGGTTCAGGTTGCATGTTTTCATGTTCAAATTGTAAACCCAAAATTTGCTATCGGGGAACATTTCTGTGAGAAGGACTTTTGCTGGATTATTGCCATATACTTACACAGCAATAAATTGCCAAAGAAAATGAAATCTACCACAGCAGTGGTAAAAAAAAATTAAAACAAGGTTAAAATAAACCCAAAGACGTAATGTCAAGGGTTTTTAGTCAAATTTATAACAAAATTTCTATTTCCTGGTTCCTTTAAGGGAAACTAACAACAGTCACTATATGAGGACCATTCACATCAGGTTAGGGTATTTATTGTTATACGGTTGGAAACTCATCTGTATAGATCATCAAACGAGACATCCATTCTATCTTGTTCCTTTCTGTCTAAAATAGGGTACTTCTGCATGACCTTTAACCCTCCTTCTGTTTTAACCATCAAAAACAGTAGAAATGCCATCCAATTGATTTTCCCCCAGTACACAGACACCTACACACATATGGGAAATTTGACCGATTTTGACTGATATGGCAACTGTGTCAAGAATGCATCTTAGCAAGGGAGGGTTAATTCATGCACACTACATGGATGTGTACGGTCACTGTGCCCACTCTTTTCAATACTGCCTTTCAAATGCCAATTAGTTCTTGAATAAGGCTAATCATAAAATTATTCTAGTTACATAGTGATTAGGAACTGTTTACACGTGGTTGATCCAGGAACTATTGCACTTGTCATACTATCCTACATTGACAATACTGATATTGACCTACATGTACATGTACACTATACATGTCATGCATACTAGGCCGGACTTGCTATTATTTGATATGTAGTATACATGTACACATTAGATGATATCCGGTAATTAGAGAACTAGGCGAGCCACGCAAGCTAGAATAATGGAGAGTGGGCCTACATGATCATGATGGAGGAGAAGACTTCCCCCTTATTTAGTTTTAAATTTTTTGTTTTGAGATTTATTATTGATTATCATACGTGTATTTTAATTTTCAAAACTCATAAAAAATCAACTGATGATGTCATTGTAATGCCATTTCAGATTGTGTACTGGTGTTATTATCTCCCTACCCACCAAGTTTCATGACGAGTGGACCTTGCCCTATCACATTTTTTATAACATCATCATGACATCACGCATTTTTGCATATTTTGTGCATTGCGCGACGAACCAAGTACATTTCGAATTTATCATTTTGCATTAATGAGATATGGTGAAATCCTTAAAAAATTCAAAATTCACAAACAACAGGAAAAGATAGGAGCTGTGATGTTATTGGTCAGGCTATCACACAGCCAACTGACACTTATTGCGAGAACATGCTCAGTGATGCTGCTGATTTTCTGAAGTGTGGATGGACAAAATGCTCAGGAATTTCACCATTTTATTGAGGATATACATGTAAGGTGAATAAACCTTCCCATCTGACATCTACGTGCAACTTAACCAAGAAGGCATGTATGAAATTTGGTGATGGAGGGGTACATTGACACGATCAAAACAGCCAAAACATGTTTTTTATGGAAGTTTATACATGGCGATCTGCAAGGTTTGTGTAAACCTTACAGTTCGGGAAGTAGGGGGAGGCCTAGGCCAGTAGGCCTACATGGCATATAGGCTATAAAGGTGGTCCTACTCCTAGCCCCAGGCTGGGGGCCAGTCTACTGGACTCCCTCTGTATCCTAGGCCCCACAGCGGTCCATTCAAAAAGCAGAGACTCAGCAAAAATGCCTTGTATGAAACTTCTAACAATAAACCCTTGATATGCTGCGTCTGCTTTGTCGTGTGACGTACAGGCATAAGAGAATGCAGATGTGTGCGGATCGTTGAGGGATGAGAGGTAAGGATGTTAGGAAAAACCTCACTTTTTGACAATACGAAGTGGCTATCGTTACGGCAACAGTAACGCATCTCCCAATTTTCTATCGTTATGGCACTGAACTGCGCAAGAGCGATGACGTACATGTAGCTGATCATCCCGACGGTTTATATATTTTAAAATTACCTGGATCACTGAACGCTTGTGGCCGAGTGGTCAAGGTGGAAGGTTTGGAACCACTGGTGTGCGAGTTTGAATCCGTGCTTCGACCATTTTATTTTTGTTTGCCTAAATTTCACGTTTTATACCATAATTGTTTTTTACGTTGGTTTCTAATTGTATAGGCCTAAGCAGAGGCTTTGGAAGATTTTTTTTTATGGGAAATAAAGTCTGAAATCTGCACAAAGCTGGCGCGCTTTCGCAGTTGCAGTGCCATAATGATAGAAAATGGGAGAGGTGTTACGGCTGCCTTAACAACAGCCACGGCGTTGACAATAATAATTAATATAGGGTCTAGGTGAAATTCTACAAAATACAAAGAACCCAGATGTTCGATATAGGTAGCAATTCATTTAGCGGTAGATTTGCTCCAGAAAGCGCAAACGGAGGTTTTCTCAGGTACAACTACGTGACCCGGCAAAGCACTTTTCAAAACCCCATAGCGTTACGACACCATGTAAACCAAGTGGGCACAAAGTCACACGGAGTAGTCCAGTACATACAGTCTTAAAAACTGGAAGCGACTTTGAGTTCTCGAAGTTGGCCGATAAAATATACAAATCATGAACCGTGGCCTTCACCTATGACCTTTCTAATGTAAGTCTCGTAACAACCATGTACAGTCATGACAGTACCTTAAGCGTGACGTCGCATAATTTTCCCTTCCTCCGAATGGTTTCCATTGCAGAGAAACCGCTAGCGAAATGATCGCGTTTGTGAAACACAACAACGCCATCGCTGTCTTCTTCCAACTCCAACTTGGCTAAATTTGAAGACATATTGCACGTGCCTTTTCCACTCTAGTCACTGCAAAACCGCACTGAATTCACTGCAACACTACATTGTTAAATCACTGAGCAGAACTTCAAAATGACACCGACAAGTCTGTCATTTCTTCGAACATTTTATTCATTCCGGCTAACATCTTCCGCTCCGTCAAGTCTGTTTCCCACTCACCAGCTCAATAATTACTAGACCCAGCGCAGCTAGATACTAGATCTGTACGTGCATGCTATTCCGAATGCTTACGTACTTGACGTACGTACATAGTACATGTACGTGCACAAGTCTGTGGCATGGCTGCAGCCGCCCTACATAATCCATACTATTGATGGTGACTTAGAAACCAGACTAACTTCGCGCGTCACAGCTCTGTGGTCACGTGACGTGTAGTACCGCCAAACATGAATTTAGGATAAATTAAGTATATAAAATTTAGTATGCGAGTAGCTGGTTTAAACTCAAGGCCCCAGGCTCCATCACCCTTTATCTTCTGTTTGCTGCTATCAGTTTTCACCACTAGTTTTCCATGTTGCAGGCGCTCGGTGGGTAGTGGACTGTAGTGCCCCTAGCCCCTGGCGTATTTAAAGGTATTCCACTAACGTTAGGCCTATTAATAATTAGTACTATTAGTATTATTGTTTCTTTGTTTT